GGACCAGACCATCTTCGATGACGACGGATGGATGACGACGCCGCTTCTAGAGGCGAACCGCGCTGACATGTACGCCACGTATCGCTATGTCTACGCCGAGATTCTACAAATGTGGAACCAGCCTCTAGCCCGTCTGGAGATCATGAAGTTCAACGTGCTTCAGCAAGGCCAGGGGACTGGCTCGATTGACGATTTCCACGACACCTACAGTATTGCCGATACTTCGACAACAATCCAGCAGCATCACCACGACCAACAGCATCAGAGCCATCAGACTCAGCATCACCAGCAGCAACCCCATAACACCTCCCCAATCCTTCTCGGAAAGAAGGAGCAGCTCCAAGCTCTCATTGCCTCGGGCCGCGGTCTCGACGTTACCGGTGTATGCCGCGTCCACGAGACCCAGCTCGAGCCTCTGAAATACACCTCCGCCTCCGCGACTCGCTCCGGCGGCGCCGTCGGTGCATGTGATCGCTGCCGTCGCCCGCAGTACCAGCTCCTTTGCGTATACTGTCGCGAGCCTGTCGACGCACTGTACCCGCCGTGTCTAGGCTGCGGCTGCGCCTTCCACGAGGCTTGTCTCGCGGAGTGGCATGCCGCCGGCGAGGTAACGTGTCCTGCTGGCGACGAGTGCAACTGCATAGAAGAAGCGTCGAGCGGGCAGGTCGAGTCGTGGGCTGCCATGATGGGCGCGCTGAGGAAGGGAACACAGCCCACCGCGGGCGTTTCTTCTGCTCCTTCGGGGGGCGTCATGGGCCGTGGTTTCGTGCTGCCGCCGCCCGCGATCGAGGAGCCGGATGACGAGGAGGTCGAGAGGGGTGATTGGGAAAGCGTGGCGAGTTCCGCGGGGATCCCTAGCCGGATGCAAGGGGGAGGGGCGGGTAGCGGTGCGGTTATGAGTGCCGCGCGGATCAGTCTGGGGAACAGGCTTAAGAAGTCTGCGGGCGATACCGCGGCTGCTTGGTCCCGCGCATCTAGTTTGAGAAAGGGTAGGGGTGGCCATCCCGGAGCTGGGGTTGGACCTGGTTCTGGACTAGGCAGCGGGAACGGGGCTGCTGGCGGGACTTGGAGGAATGCGAAATGATTTGGATGTATGATTCTAGTGGATTTTTGTACTATTGTTGTGAGCGATGCGTGTATGTACGAATACCAAGATGCTTTTAAAGAGAGAATTTCTCCAAGTCTTGTTCAGACCGTGACCTCGAAACGGGCAAGCCCTGAGATAATGTGCTGGTCGCCTAGCCAAGATTCATTGTAAAGGATACGGGAATCGAACCGGTCAGATCAGAACACTTTAAAAGACTTTTGGCCCTCAGGATGGTCCGTCCGTAGGGCGCGTGACATTGGCAGATTGTTGATGGTATTCCTGACTGGGTACGTAGGTGTCCAGGGTACAGCTACACATGGCCTGAGATATGATGGAATATAGGCTGGTTCACCTTCGACTCTTCTCAACAGCAGTAAAAGGGACTCTTGCCCAGAAGCTTAAGATGTAAGAATCACGATATTCTTGCAGGTCCTGCATTTTAAAGTGTTACTGTATAGTAATTTTTATGAATCTTTATATCTATTCATGGCCAGATTACGCCACCTCTTTGCTCTGAGGATTGAGCGTCTACAGTGGCTGGCATCAGGAGACATACAGGGCCAATGATTTTGGTGAATTGGCGATTCCATACTTGTGATTATCTTGAAATTTGAATTCCTTTGAGGCATTGGAATGGCAATGAATTGGGGTCACATTGACTCCAAAACACGCCGATATACCGTCAAAATCCACAGTTATCGGGGCATCATGTCTTGCTCGGTCACCATATCTATCGTACTCAAAATTCATAGGGAGGAGACCAGCAGACTGAGCGCACATGGAAAACAAAAGACATGTCTGCTTCAGCCGAATACGTTCCTGATGGGTGACGGTCTCTAGTTCAAGGAATATATAAATACGTCTGCCCTCCCAAGACTCTTCTTCTATCTCTCTTCTTCTTCAACACCAGACCATCATGTCAAGCATAGTTCACCTTTTCCTTCCTAAATCTTGTTTTCCATCCATGTTTGCTTGTCTTTTTCTTAGGACTCAGAATGTAGACCTGCAAGGGCTAATGATCATCACTGTCCCTCTCAATGGCCGCTAGTCTTGTGAGCCACCTTTTCAATGGTGGTCTCACACCAAAGTTTGAGCCAAGGTCAATTTCGCTTGCTCAGCACCGTCTCGTGAATGGATGCGCGGCGGTGCACTGTGGTGTCAGAGGTTTGGACTGTCGAGGCACCCACGACGATCACCACGCGAGCAAGGCTTCGGCAACCCGATACAATTTCCCACGCCATCATCTCTAAGATGTCCCAAGTGACATGAAGCCCTGTAGGATGTGGTTCTCCCCCAGTGCAAAGTTGTAGGCTCAGTATTCTTCTGCACGTCATGCCAGTAACCCCAGGCAAAGTGGCCCACTGTCCCTTGTGTGTATGTGAAGATTTCGTCATTGTCCGAGTGATTGTGTAGAGTTGCCCCAGGTGATGGAAAGCGAGAAGACATGTATTCAGGCACCCCCCCTACGATCCCGACCTGTGCTTTATTTTTTTGGGGGGGGGGGGGTGCAAGACCTTTTCCGAAGAAGGTAGAGAGAGTGGTCGTGAAAACAGAAATAAAGAGGAGGGGGAGGATGACGGTACAAAAGGAGAGAGGGCATCAGCGTACCTAGTTATCTTGTCATAGCGATAGACGCACGTCCAAAAAGAGAAAATAAAGAGTCGATGAGGTCAAAACGATCTAGGCTGCACTTAGGACCGTCAGGCAACTCCCATGAAGAGCCCACTCACAGGCCTCCCGGTTTCCATCTTCGGTGCCAACATGAGACAAGGATGGAGGAGATAGGAGGCCACAGACTCTGCGGTCATCAATACCCTCTTTCTTCTCTGTGGCGGGAGCAGCCGTCTTGAAAGCTGGGATGGTTTTCCTTGGCCCACTTCTCGGGTTCCGGCGAGCTGGAGGGCTTTCTGTGGAAAACCGGTGTTCTGCTCCTTCTCCGAAAAAATCTGCCTCGAACTTCTCATTTCAAAGGGCAAGGAGTCCGATGTAGCATACGAAAGGGCGATTGTGTTTACCTTGTCGATGACGATGATCTGGAAGGAGACTCTCCATGTCGTAGGTTGCCTGACGCAGTGCGAGAAGGGGGTGTTGACGAATAGGGGAGAGAGAAAAACAGATAAGGAAAGGGAAAGTCTGATGGACTATCATTCAAGGTCGCCCGAGATATCCAAAGGTAAGATTTAATTGGAATGTCGGGTTGGCTGGCTGCCTATCGAGGTATTCCAACCTCCAGGGTGCGAGAGCGGGTGGGGCCCCACCTTGATTTACCCTTGTCAGGTGTCTGCGGGCCAATCAGAGGACCGGTCGTTGACGACAGGAGAATGCGATTGGAGATGGGGATGGTCGAGCGCAGCGGTTGTGTCCTCTTTACGCCTATGCTAGGTACCTTTTGTATATGATCATCTTACATTGACACTTGATTTAACTTACCTGACCGGTACGATGCTGTTATTATTCCTTCAATTGATTCAAAACGGAGGTATCTGGCTGTATAGCGATCACCACGGCTTCCTTCCGGGTGCTATCCAACTTACACGTCAGTAACTGAGCCATCTTTGTGAACAGAAGTTCCGAGATCTTCTTCGAACGGCGGAGGGTACTTTGGGAAGAGTAGCCGCGGTAAGGTCTTGTAAATTGTAATCCTGGACTGGAAGCCCAATGTGTGATGTTGGGCTCATTCGGCAGTAGAATCATTTCCCAAGTGTTTCTCAGTGAGGATTTTCTCATATTTTCATAGATACGTGTAGTAGTGGTCTTTCTATATGAATTTATGTCACCTGTTCATTGCTCATCGATGGATTGCGTGTATTGAACGCGGACAACCAAGGCGAGCAAGTACCTTGGCAGCTGTTCATCCCTCGTGTGCGTATATGATAATTTCCGTGATGACTCCGAGTTACTGTGACGGTCTACCTCCCATATGATTTCAGACGCATGGAAGTAGACACGGAATCAGACACTGACATTTCCTGGGTTCTGACTTGCTTGAGGGCAAAAAGGGATAAGACCTAGGTAAGAAGCAAAAACAGGGTCATCGTCGAAGCAAAAAGGAAGGAAAGCAGCGACCACGGGATGAAAATGATATAGTTCAATTCACCTTCTTCAAGTTCAGAGTGGTTACGTCCAGCGAAAAAAAGGAAAGAACCAAGTGAGACGGTTGAAGCCGCACTCGAGGACCTGAATCACCACCCACTCACCCACCTCAGCCACCTGGATAGCCAAACCGCCACCACACCGCCCACCCTCCACCCATCAGACCCTTTATCTACAACTTCCCCTCCCTCACTTCCACCAGCCCCGGGGACGCCCGGGAACGCCTTAGCCTAGCGGTAAAATACCGAGCAGAAAATTCCCCTAGGGGGGTGGGGTTTTCACAGGGCCAGTGTTCAACACCCTGAGCCCGAACTTTTAGGTGAGTTTTTCTAGAGATAATTTTTGTTCATTGTTTTAATCTTATTATATTCTATTGATTGGTATTGAGATTTAGTGCTTATGAAGCATTTTTTTGGTGTTTTGAGACAAACGTGGTGATGACGATGGGTTGGGCAGTTGAGGAGACTTACTTACCTTCTCCTATTCCGAGGCTTCGTTTCTCGGTGCCTATATATATAAGACGGACAGAAGGGAATAAGTCTGTAGGGGTAAAAAGAGTTACGGACTCCATAGTATGAAAAAGAGAACGCCCCTTACTTTCTTCAGATGGTTACCAAGTCTCATTTCCAAGGCAACATGGCATAGGGACAGGACGTGGGCGATGGTCGTGAAAAAACCTCACCGTGTCTCTCCAATGGCGCACAAAGGTCGACACATCGGAGGTCGCTTACAATCATGGTAATCTAGACCGATACCGAATTCAGAGGTTCTTGTATAGAGCCTATTGACTACGATAATATATGATACACCTCACGGCACCAGGAAGCAGACCTAGGGACATCAAGCGCCACGGTGAGATCAAGCCCCATGGACCCGGTAATGCTATATAAACCATCTCGTCAACAAATTGAAGGGACACTGAATTCTTTGCAACAGGGGCGGACTCCGAAATACTTGGATCTGTGATGGAAGCTCTCATTTCTGCAAACCGTTTTCGTCGAGGCTGCCGTCTCCTCTGCAACCCTATGACCAGGACATCTTCGACCTATTCTTGCACCATGCCTAAACCACGACCACGAGCCCGCAAGCCCAAGTTCATTGTAACACTCGAAGCCACGTCTTTGATATCTATGCACGTCAGAGTCTGGTTGAGGACTGGGTCTACCACCAAGCCGTGCAATTGAGGTCCCCGGGTAGGCAGTTGAGGCGCACCAGTATACACGCAAACAAATACAACAGTCGGCATGGCGCAGGCCGGGTTCTTACCACATCTCCCCGTTCATCTCATCCCGAACCAAGCCTTTCTTTTCACGTGGCCCGTCACGCCCCAACTTCCGAGATCCGCTTTGCCAAACCAATCCCTCACGTCGCCCACCTCCAACACCAAAAGCAGCAGCAGCACTCACAAAAGACAAAAGACATACAACACCAGGTATTCGCTGGTCGTCACCGACCCAACTACTAATCCAGCCCTCATTGGCTTATCTATGGGAGAGCGGACGGGATCCCGAGTTTTCCAATGGGTATGGTCGTATGTGAAAGATAGAGGGTATCGTGAGGGTGAAGTTGCCTTGCAGAAGCCCAAGCGGCAGCCACCACAACCCACATTCAATATTCGTGCAGATGTGAGTCGTTGCCTTGATTCCCACGGCATCAACTGCAAAGACTTATTGTGATGACAAAAGTTATTGCAATGACAGTAGACCAGAGTGTCCTGACCCAATCTCCCCTCCGACTGCTCATGTGCGGAGGTGTGAGTTTTTCCGGATCGTTTTCTTTCTCTGCAGAAGAGAAAATCCAATGTGCATCTTGCGTCTTGGGGTAGTTGCGTTCTCCATCTGTTGTGCTAGCGTATAGAACCATGGTCTGGAGCTTGACTGCAGCCTCTTGCGGCATGGCCTCCAAGTTCCGCCGTACCTGAAATCATGTACAGCAAGCAACGAGCGGCGCTTGTGTTTTTGAGGCCACAGCTCTTTGTTCGCATTGATGCAAAGCGTCTTGCAGGTAAAAGTGCTGACACTTGTGCATTGGGCCGCGAACAACACCATGGAGAATTAGCGTATAGCCAGCTTTGCCTCCGTGTTTCGGAGACCAAGTGTCGTCCGCTAGGTTCCGTGCCGGTCCGCCGATGGCCAGTGCGATGCCAACGTGCAACTCGGGCCCATGACGGCAAAAGGGTCTGAGGTTCGGACTTCGGTGAGAGTCCGTATACTTCCTCGTCCATGGATGTTCTCTGCTCCTCCGGCTGGGGCGAGGTTCCGAACTCCCACCGTTCCGAGAAATGCCCCGCCGCCGCCGTCACGTGTAATCGTGAAATTAGCAGCGGGCAGCTCGCGATCGAGTCAGCGGGAGTTTTTTTATTCTCTTTTTTGTGCAACTGGGTTTTTCTTGGGCTCCGTGTCCGACTGCTAACGCCGGGTGATGTGCGAACCACGATGCGCGAGCACCGTTCGAACCAGGGTAGGAGAAATGGGGTTATGCCTGATCGTTTCTGGGTCTATGAGCGCGCCGGAGCCACGTTCGGCGCAAACGCTCTGACAATTTCTAGCCAGAGTGGACAACGGTGTGACATCGTTGCTCGTCTGCTTGCGAAGAATCGGATATTGAAAAGACCCAAAGAGGTTGACATAGCCAGAATTCAGGGATCCCACGATAGTCCCATGATAAGAAGGTCATGTTTTGACGATACCTAAGCGCGGCCGATGCAGCCTGCAGGAAACAAAAGCCTGAGGTACCTGGATGTCCGTACCGGCAAAAGGGAATGTATTTCCATGAAATGTTTCAACGCCCTTGCTTGCAGACCCAGGCAGCGGGGACGAATTCTCTTGCCTCGCGATGCGTGCCAGGCTCTTGGAGTGGGCTGCATGAAACGGCTCGTATCCCTGATAGGCACTTTCCATATGATAAGCCACGATACAGATATACGATCAAGTGGGAAAGCTCAAATTTTCTCGCCCAATTCTAACCTCTTGGCCCTGGTCTCGGACTAGAGCAGAAAAAGCTTCTTGTGCGCGGGACCTTTGAATCTTGGAAGAGGAGAAGACGGGAAAACGCGAAATAGGGGTTGCCTGGTCTGGTTTCTCCGTTGGATGGGGGCGGCCAGGGACCACCACGCGCTCAAGGATCAAGGATCGTGGGCTATGGTCGTGGGGATTGGTGCTAGCGGCCTGCCTGCATGCGAGGAGATTCGGAATGGAGCCGGTTTCCCGTTTGGGAATCCAATGTTTCTCGCTTGACCGAGAAGTCGAAAACGCGATAAATGACCGTACGTGAGACTGGGTTAGGGTAGAGTGGCCAGTCAGCATCGCGTAAGGTAATAGTTTACGGGTGTCGTTGACTCGTGCTGGATGACGATCTTTCTCGCACCATGGTCGTGACTGTCGCATGAAATTTGAATAGCATTGCCGTCTTAAGCCTTGCAACGATCGCCACATGAAAAAAAAATCCCGATAGCTAGCCGAATAGCCATGCCGTCAACGGTATCCGTAGGCGGCCTCGCTGGACCAAAGGCTGAAAACCGGATCAGAAGCGGGATGGCGGAGGGGGGCGTTTGACGTTTGTAGGAAAAGGCGGCGAGCTGTAATGCAGTTTCCCTTGAGTGCCCCCATTTGCGGCAGATGAACCCCGGTTGACTTCGACTGCTGAAACGGGATCATTGGCGATACGGCTCGGCGCAACGGCTCCTTGAGCGTTTGCTTGGTCTGCCGGACCGTCGAGCACACCGGACTAATTGAGACGGGATCTTGTCTCTGTAGGGAAGGCATGGAGCTTCAAACGGAGGCCGGGTCGTGACCGGATTGCCAGGATGGTAGAGAGAAGGGGATATCCTGTTGGCGGAGCTGGTTGGATGTGATCTGCTAGCTCAGGAACGGACCCGAATCATGGTATTAGGCGGCGCGCGGCGTGGACATGGGAGTCAGAAATGGCCCGAAGAAGAGAAAACTTGGAAGACATGGTGTGATGGTTGAACATTTGCTGGACCCAGCAAAGTCGAGATAGAGGAACGCAAATGTTTAGCAAATGACTGTGGTGTTGTTCCGAGGAATGCTCGTGTAGATGACAATCCGATGTGGGCGCTGTAAATCTGCAGGTCGTATCAGAGTAGAAGGGAGTAGCGGATGGGATTACTGCGTGCCAGGCAAAGCTGTTGAGACGCGCCGATATGCATTCAGCAGACCTTGGTCGTGATATGTATGGTGTGCAGCCGTGTGCAGAGTGTAGTGCAGCTAAGAGGGTGTGGTGCAAGTTGTGCTAGTGCAGGTTCACGGACAATTTCCTGCAGGCGTCGACTTGGTGCATCTTGGATCGTGTTTCTCTTGCATATCAGTGGCTGTGAAGCCAAGCTTTCCTCGTCTTTGCCGCAGCGTTGAGGGCAAGAGTGTGACAACCATGGGCGGCACAGTCGAGAGCATGGCACAGTCGGCACTAAGGCAGGTATTCGTATGGACAGTTGAGAGCTTGCAGTTCCAAATCACCTAGTGGGCTGATGTGGAAGAGCAAAGAAAGCCCCTGCTGCCAATGACAGGCTCTGTGACTCGGGAGACAGCGCCGATCATGCTGAATGTTTGATGTCTAGTCGAATGAGATGAATTTGCAGTGGAAAATAAGGTAACAACGTTTGGGGATTGGAGAAGTCGATAATGCGAACTCTAAGATTACGTGTTGCACGTCGGGAAATATGCACTTAGGTAAGCCATGTTCATGCAGCAGGCAGTGGCATCCAACCTAGCTGGGGGAGCGCGGTGGAGGAGGGGAAGGGACGGACGGGCGTGACGGGCAATTCCCACGGGCAGTAGATGTTGCCGCGGAAGGAAAAGAAAGAGAGAGGCAGGCACGGTTGGTGCATTAGAAAAGGCAGGCAGGCAGGCAGGCAGGCGCAAGTGCAATTGTCAATGTCAGTGCCACCAGACTTCTAGGTATCTTTCACATGGGCTCTCGGTCCCCGTTTTCGTCTTTTGCCTACCTTACCTTAAGGTACCTTGGGTTAGGTTGAAAGCTGACAAGCTGCACCTGTGCTCTTCACTTTTTCTTGCCTGCCGTAATGAGGTCAATCTTCGCACGGTTGGAAGGACGGACGTCTGTCTTATGTACCAAGTACGTAAACAAGGAGAGTGCCAGAGCTATCCAGAATGGGGGGCACAGATGTTGATAAAGGTCCAGCCCGGCGCCTCAATCTGCCATCTCAAACTGCCATCCCAGCAATGCGGAATGCCAGGTTCAGGTTGCTTCCCGAAAAGATCAGAACACCAACCTGAAGCAATGGGGCTCCGGGGTTCAGTTATCTATGAGTCTATGACTATGAGGGAAACTCCAAGGGAGCAGCAGAAGAAGAAAAGCAAAGGGGATCGATCTCTCCATACAATGCGTGGAATGATCCGCAATTCTGCTTCGTGCGGACTTTGATCACTCGAGGCTGAGGCAGACGATAGAAAAAATAAATAAAAAGGAACAGCGGAAGAAAAGACGAAGACACCGAGTTGGCAGGCACATCCTTGTCACACGACCGCACTTGCGTACCCGGACACCTCTAGGGGCCCCAGGGTGAGTGCGACGCCATCCCACCCGTCGGGGAACGACCTGGCAGTCCTGGTCACTGACAAACACGCAAAGTGCTGGACCCCTGCAGGACATCTCAAATCCAATCCAACCTATCCATCCATTCACCCATCCAGCCCAGCCGAACTGGACGAGCAGTCCAATCCCATTGCACAATCCCGCCATCCAACGCCCACGCCAGCACCAAGCAGAAGAAGCACCGGGCGAGCAAAGGCAACGAACCAAAGGCAATCGTCCACCTCACTCTACTGTCTAAGACTGCCCATTCAATTCCCATTTGACCCCCGACTTGCCGTTCCATTCTTCTACTCCACCGTCCCCGGGCCTCTCTTTCTCTCTTGGGCCTACTTTCTTTCTCAATCGCCGTCTCGTGTCGTTTCGTCTCTGGCCACTGCAGCTCCCCACGTCCTTGGAGCCCAACTCGATTCGACTTCAAGTAGAGCCAGCGCCGCTGTTTGTGCCGTCTCAATTTGCCCAAGACTTTTCAGCCTTCGCCCTCACTACTGCTCAGCCTATGGCTACGATTCAAAGCCAACTCAAACACCATCGTGGCTCGATTCGACCATCTTCAACCTCGTGGTACCGATACCTAGAGACCCAGTTCGAATCCCAGCACGGCGGCGATACATAGCCCGAACCTGCTGCACCACCTACCAACTTACTCCGTACACTACCTTACCTACTTCGTACTCCGTACTGCGAACCCTGCATTTATACGAGTACCTGGTACTGTACACTGCATCGCCTGTCCACCATTCCGCCTGCTCCTTCGTGCGCCACCGCACAAGACAAATACCCAATCTCGCCCTGAAGCATACCCTGCATGCTGCCCGTCCTGTCACCAACCTCGACATTCACTCTCTCAGAACCGTTCACAATTCGGCTCCATTTTCCATACAAAATCCACCAGATCAGCGGATCCCTCCCTACGGATACCACTCCTCCCAGACTCTCATACGTTGCACTCGCTCCCTTCTCGTCCACCACGTCCACGCTCTCCCACCAAACCACAACCCGCACTCGCACTGGGTCCGATTCGACTCCCCCTGCTGCTCCGTACAACGACACACGCCACGGAGCGAACCGCACACACTGCCTGTCACGCGTTCGTTTGTCGAGCTGGCTGCTGGCGGATCCTGCAATTGCCATTTGCAAACCTCGCCTTTCAAACGGACCCATCCTGGCCCAACCTCGCCTTTGCATCAACAAAGTCAATTGATGACACAAACCTTCTGATCCGCACCATCGCCCACCATGCCCTCCACCGGTTCGAAACGATTTGAGCTCCCCAAGCTGGACTTCAAGTTCGGCTCCTTGACCGAGGGAACCAACATCCCCCCGCCGCTCCCCAGCCCCGTCCAGGAGGTCCCCACGCCTCCCCAGACCCCGCGTGTGAGCGAAACCAAGGACTCCGGGTCCGCCGTCAAGGAAAAGGTCGAGAACAAGACAAATGGTCATACGGCAGCAGTGCCAGGCTCGCCTGCCACCACCAATGGTACGAAAGGATTCTCGGATGACACACCACTCTCTCCAGCAGCGTCAAGCAGACAAGGCAGCATCCGTCGTCTCTTCAGCCGGACATTACTGAACCAAGCATATGCAGAAGGCGAAACCCAGTCCGCCCACAACCGTCCCATGAGCCGTAGTCAAGGCAGCATCATCGACGAGAAGAAATCGAAGCGAAGCAGCGGCTGGTTCAAGAGGCTGAGGACCAGCGAATCCTCCCCGCCACAAAAACGGTCCAGTGTCGTCTACGAGCACCCCAACGTCAGCGAGACAAGCAGCCAAACGCAAAGCAAGCCTCAGATCCCTCAGCCACAGGCACAGGCACAGGCACCTCAGGTTCAAGGACCTCCGCCGCCCATGATCCCCGAGCTAAGCGCCCTCCAGGCCAGGCTGGACGTAGGAGACGGGGGCAGTCTTGGAGACGATTTATTCAAGAATATCAAATAATTACTGACTAGATGCGGACAAATTCCGACACTAGTCATGACTAATATCTACAAAGCTGCCGGTTTTTGGAGTCGGGAACCGGCTTCTTTGTCGAATGCGAAAGAAAAAAGAAAAACAGAACCACCTTATATGCGCCGACGAGCGAACGACCGAATCCGAGCGGATGCACCAATACGATTTCCTAGCGTTTTCTTCAAGTTGAACTTCATTTCGAGCCAGAGCTGGGGGACGAAGAGGCGGAGATGGAACGGAGCATATGTGAAAAGGAGCGGAGGCAAGATTGGAAGAAGTTATGCAAGATACCCAGCTCGCGCCGCGGGCTCATTCTGACATACGTTGTTTACCCTTTGTTTGTTTTGTGTGTTTCTCTTCATCTCATTGCGCTGTCTGGGAGATACAGGCACCATGAATCCCGAATCTCTTTTCCTTGCGGGCTTATTGGTCAAACCCTTTCCTACTCTATGACTTACCTTCTAATGTACATGTTGATGTTTACGGGTTTGATGGAAAGCTTGTGGGGGTTAAGAAACGGTGGCGAGGCTGACGACCGATGGAGGAACGAGGAACAACTCGAGCTCGCGTCAGCTTTCACATGGCACGAGACAGTATGCAACTATCAATTGGCAAAGATGCTTTGGGCTTAGCCACAATGGCTGGAAACGCCATATCACGGAGCAGTTGGCCAAGTGCATCCTGATGCCGCTGGTGCTTATGTGGCAACCGCAGCAGTAATAGAGACTATATTTTACGACCTACATTGGTGTTCGCTACGTTTTGGATGGGTGAGAATATCAGTCGGCTTGTAAGGACTAACGCAACGAAGCGAACTCGTTGAGAAAAGAAGATGATGGCAGATGGACCCCGCGTCATCCGAACCTGACGCTATGGCCTCTTGAACACATCATGTGGCGAGAGGCTTGCATCTGCGGGTTGTTTTAGCGCGCAGAAGAGCCTAGCAAGGCCATGGCTAGTTTTTTTCTGCTGGAGAACGATGCTGCAGCAAAGCAGATCGCTAGAACATGTCACCATGCGTTCTCGACTGTCCACTCGAAACTCGCTTGTACCTGTGCGGTATAGCGTCATGCCAGACGATCGGTCGTACACTACCGTGTTCCCCGTGAGTCCGTTGAATACCCGGAGCCGCCGCCGTTCAGGTTTCGATGCCCTGGACGGCGTGCCGCGTCCGTCTCTTTTGCCGGAGCTGTTGTGTGGCGGTGGGAAGCTCGAGCCAATCGCGGAAACGGCGGGACCACCTCCCCTTTCCTGTGCGGCATGTGCGGCGTGCACATTCCAACCCAGGGGACGGCGCTAGTGGGCTGATTCGTCGGCCGCAGTGAGAGGGACCTGTGGACGTCATTGTGAGAAGGAGCTCCAGCTACCGGTCGCCCGTTTGCCGAGCCAGAGCCGGGACCTGAAGCTTGGAGCTACGGTTTTTTCCAACCGTCACTTTCCCACAACCACCACTCTGTGTCATTGTGCCAATTGCCGACTTGCTGTTTTCAATTAACACAAGCACACATTTCCAAATATGGCAGCAAGCTTGCGCACAAACACCGCGACGACGGCGCTTCGGCCGCTGACCTCGGCGCTGCGACCGGCTGCGGGCCGACAGGCCGCGGCGCAGTACCTCCCCCGTGTTGCGCGACGATACAAGTCCGGTCCGTATGGGTATACCCAGGCCAAGGCGCTCGTGTTCTCCAAGGAGGGCGAGCCCAGCGATGTTTTACAGTACGTAGTCGGCCTTCTTACCCACCGTTCAAACGAATAAAGACAAAAACTAACGCTTGCGAAAACAGACTACACACACACTCCATCTCCCCCTCGATCCCCTCCTCCGCCGTCCTCCTCCGCGCCCTCGCGGCTCCCATCAACCCGGCCGACATCAACACCATCCAGGGCACGTACGGCGCCAAACCCCCCTTTACGCAACTCATCGGCACCCCCGAACCCTCTGCGATTCCCGGAAACGAGGGCGTCTTCGAGGTCGTGTCGGTTGGATCCAAGGATTCCGGGCTGAGCAAGGGCGACTGGGTGATTCCCAACGCCAGCTCGTTCGGGACGTGGCGCACGCATGCTGTTGCTGAGGCGAAGGATGTGATGAAGGTTAGCAAGGAAGGGTTGACGCCTACGCAGGTTGCGACGGTCAGCGTGAACCCCTGCACGGCGTACCGGATTTTGAGAACGTATGGACCGGGGGAGATTCGTGCGGGCGCGGATGGTGGTATGAAGGCTCTTGATCCGGGGAGTGGCGGGTGGTTTATTCAGAATGGTGCGAATAGCGGTGTCGGACGCGCGGCGGTGCAACTAGGGAAGTTGTGGGGGTTGAGAAGTATCAACGTCATCCGGGAGCGGGAGACGCCCGAGGAGACGGAGGCGTTGAAGGAGGAATTGACGGGGTTGGGCGCCACCGTCGTGGTGACGGAGAAGGAGTTTCTGGCGAGGGAGTGGCGCGATCGGCTTGCGGAGCTGACGAGGGGCGGGAGGGAGCAGGTCGGGCTCGGGCTGAACTGCGTGGGCGGGAAATCCGCGACAGCGGTGGCAAGGAGTTTGGGGGAGAGCGGGACGATGGTTTCGTATGGTGGGATGGCGAGGCAGCCCGTCATGTTGCCTACGGGGTTGTTGATCTTCAAGGATATCAGGTTCGTCGGGTTCTGGTTGAGTAAGTGGAACGAGAGGGACCCCACGGGAAGAAAGTTTGCGATTGAGGATGTCTTGGGGATGATTAGAGAGGGTAGGTTTAGGGATGTGCCTGTTGAGGAGGTTCCTTGGAGCTGGGGTACTGAGGAGGGGGTTTTGCAGAGTGCCGTTCAGGGGACGCTTGGTGGGTTTAGGAAGGGCAAGGGGGTTTTCGTTTTTGGGGAGACGTGAGAGGTCATGTGTAGCTGCTGAAGGATGAGGTTGTGTTTATAGAGGCGGGTGTGGTGGTGTAGGATATGGGACAGAGACTGTAGATGCAGCCTGTATGACAGGTGGTGGTCTTCCGTCAGAGGTATATCATGCGAATAGTTAGCTTGAGACAAGACATGGCTCACGACCGGAGACGCTCAGTGAAGCACATCTGACGATCCACGCTCACAGCTCAAAGCCTTGAGTGTCGTTATCATTTCTTTAAATCTGGGACTTGAAATACGTGATGTTACTGGAATGGTGCAAGAGACGAAGGTATCTGTGCTTACAGCCAGTTTTCGCTCTTGGGCCTGCGGCTATAAACATCACTCTGTCGGTAGCGAACAAGACAGATGGTTTCCCTTGAAGTTTACAGCGCTTTGGTGCTCTGTCCTTCTTCCTGGTGACTTATACGACTGCTCTGGTTCAAGGAGACAGCCGAGCGCTCCTGGGAATATCTTCTGATGAGCAGAGCCCACATTGATATTTCTCTGTACAGTGTAACTCTTGATATCTAGACGGAAGGTATCATGCTCTATGAAAAATTGAACCTCACGTATGGAACTTGTGTCCCTTTGAACCTTTCACAGGGTCTGGGTGGTGTCAATGGATGTTCACGATATGATGTGATGTGCGAGTATATGAAATATCCAAACCAACTCTTCTCAGTACTTGCCGTCAGTCTAGGCGCGAAAGGGGGATCATCGTTGATGGAACTATACGCAGGAGACGGTGAAAAGGGCAGTAAAGACGACGAGACGATTTTCCATGCTCGGGAATATCTCAACTTGGGCTCTAGGTAATAATCTATACTTTGCAAGTTCCCTGGTCAAGATGTTGATTGTCCGCGTAACTAAAGAACAGCCTATTGGCACTTTCAAGCCACGACTAGTCAGATTCGACCCACAGTGGCCGACATCTGAATCAATACTTGGGCTAGTATCAGTAACTCTACTCCAGTAATGATTCCATCCCATCTGGCAATGTTTTGATTTCCGGGGTGGCGGGACGTAGATGTTTACTCCGAATGTAGAGGAACCACTTTTGCTTGAGCTTTTGCGGATGATGATGTTCTCATTGAAGATAAAGTGATGAAACTCGCGCATGTAGAAGTTTTTACGGAGAGCCCAGAAGCTTGAGGTAGACTCAGCTGCGTTAGTCAACCAAGTATCGTGTGGATTGTTTACTCGGTACAGCCGCGACACTTGAACATACAGAGAAAGGCTCTTCAGCTTCACGAAGTGGACAGATGCTTGGTTCCACGTAATTCCACAATACCAAGTACCCAGAGCTCTTATTCAAATACCTACTAGTACCTCTAGTGTGTTGGAATCAAGCAGGCTTCATCTGCAGTAATCTCATGCTTATGACGACTGTGGGTGGTAGTCCTGAAGTCCAACATTGATAGATGGTTACTTCGAAACTGCATCAAATGAGTATCGATGACGATTTTTCTTGTCCCAATCACTCGCTCGTTTCAGTGATATCAGACTGAGCAATCCTCAGGAGACCATCTTCGACCGGGAAACTCTCGTCTCCGGGGCCCAGAAACACTTTAAGATGCGGGCACCACTCCCGTCGTTAAGCCTGGCCCTCAGCTATGTATCATTGCTCATCCAATTACTCTTATTGCAAACAGCACACGACACCCAAGAGAAAGAGGCCTTTAGAATCACGATGCGGGCCAGAGCGGCGAAAGGACTACTGGCTATCGAGCAGAGTAGACGGAATGTACCAGCCAGGGGGACCAGGCCGGAACACTCCGCGACGATGACAGCAACTGAGCAGAGAGTGGGAAGTCTTCAATAGTTACGATAATGTGCCGTCGTGGAGGACTGATTGAAACCAGAAGCACGACGTGGGACGTAAGGAAAAGAGTTTGGGGAGCACTGGCAGCGAGTGATTAGAGTCGGCCAAGGATTATCGCAGCTGATTTGGCATTGATGCGAATCGGATGGGTCGTCTGCGCCATCTGAAAGTAGAACATGTTATCATCGACTGCTCTAAACGCAGAGGATTGCGAGCAGCGATCTTGATAGGAGCCATGGGAGGCAATGCGTTGAAGGATATTGTCGATTTAGCAATCGTCAGAGCCGTTTTCAACGCCAACATCACGCAGTATGTGACGCTCATTATGTGATACGAGAGATTCTCCGACAAGTCTGCAAACCAGCGTTTCGTCTGGCTTCAGTACCAAGGGGAAATTTTCCCCTGGAGAACTCTTGTCCTTGAAGACAGCCACAAACACAAGACCGCTTTGTATGATGAGCCACGAGAGATGTAGTCTGCAGCTGCACGAATCCAGCGAGCAGTACATCTAGCAGCCCAGTAAAGAGGTCATTCACTAACACGCTAACTAGATCTTGGCCCTCGTGAACATGGAAACGGGAGATTCGCCCAGGATCATCTACGACAACAGAGCAAACACGTCGTCCCTGATCAACATTCATCAATGGGAACTTCATCACGGGCATGGCGTTAAAGACGTTCGTCAAATCGCCCAGCGCGGGAGAAACGTCGGAAAGTAGCATCAAAACCGTGATAGAATTCTTTGCAACTCGAACGTTGTCAAGGCTCAGATAGTGTCCGAGTCGGCAAACAAGACTTTAGAGCTTCAACACCAAGTACCGGTTGTCACGATGTATAACCTGGCAAATCTACAGCTTTTCCTCGAAAGCAAAGTAGCAACTCATTTTCTTGTCTGCAGACTTTTCCCGAATTCTTCACCTTTTCTCTTCTTTCTCTTCTCAACCCAAACCATGGACCATCTCAACACACATTTCGCAAATAGTCGCCATACTCACCTTCCAAAACCCAGACGCGTCTCTCGACCCAGCCAGGGACCCAGTCAGACGCGTCGCTCTGCCCCGCCCAAAGAACCACGAACCGCGTCGTCCCCCATGTCATCGTCACCTCACCGCCGACCAGGCCTCAACCTCGCCCCAAGAATGGCCCCAGGACCCCTTTTTTCCATGTCTCCTCCCCTCCCAAGCACCCAAGCAAACTTCCTGCCCAGTGCCCACCTTACAGTTCCCTCCTACCTCCCCTGCCGCCTCTTCCCAATCCTTCCCCCCCGACTCCCGGGTCCCTGTTCACTTGTGCTTCTCCAGCTCGAGCTCTCTCCTCTCTCTAGCGCGGATTCTCTACCACTTCGTACGGAGGCATGGAGGGAGATATTCCCTCCAGTCCTTCCATTGACGTAGAGTAGCATCGACACACATCGAGGTGTCATTGTCAACCGCGTGCGCCGCCCTCTCCGCGCCGAAGAGGTCGCAGTCCTGGTTACCCGAACCGGGACTGTTCCACACATATGGCTTTCTGCCCATCAAGGGTTTCAATAGTGCTCCCTCTGCTATAGGTACCTACGTCCTATGGTTATAGGCTCGCCCCGAGTCTTCTCGAATAAGGTACCACTGGGTATTTACGAAGAACCCAAGCCCGTTTCCACTTCCAATGAATCCTTTCACAAGGTTTGGTGCCGGGTCATTCCCCAACGGATCCAACGGCGGGACGGTTCTCAAACCCCCAGGCCCTGGCGGCAGGTTGATAAAATAGCTTTATCCCGGAGACTTGCTTCATCGAGACAGCAGTCGGGATACTGGTGCATTCGTAGAGGAGAAAGGGCAAAAATGCGCCCCCACGTGGAGATTGGAGAAAGAGAGAGAGAGAGAGTGTGTGTGTGTGAGGAGAGTGCCCAGGCTATGCCAGGTTTACGGCAGCTTTTGCTTGCTTGCCCAACCTTGTCCCATGCTTTGGAGACCTCAATCCAGAACCGGCATGGATAGCCATGCCAAGGAAAAATACCACCCCGAAATTATTCCCTGAACGGCACCGGCGTCGAAACCTTGCATCTCCTCTCTCTCTCTCTCTCTTTCACGCGCCTTGGACCTGTCCGCATGGCCTATAAATATAGTGGAATGATGCCTGTCGCCGATACCACTGCATGATGCAGGGGGAAGTTGCAAAGGGGGAAGTATCCACGGGTTTGCTTTCCATCGCTCTCTCCATTCCTACTTTCTCATCCTTTCTAAACCTCATTCGGTAGGATAGCAAACGTGTCAAGGGGGGGGGGGGGGAGCCTGGAGCCTGCTGATGCTCTTCAACGGCGGAGAATGGCGGCGGGTTTGAGTGGTTGAGTTCCATCCGACCGGCTGGTGGGATTTTGCATGACCGGGGTGTTCTGGCCAGGAAGTCGGACGCGATTTTCTTTGAACTGTCTTTGCTACGCGCTTTCCCTGCTCAGATTGCGGATAACGTCAAGTTGAGGTCACGGAATTCACCGTTCTGTGTGCATTGAGGGGATGTGAGCAGTGCTAGTTGTGCAAGGCGGAGTGAAGCATAATCAATGAGGGCTTGATATGTTTGGACTTCCGCGACCAGGGTCTTGGTTTGATTCAGCCATGGACTTGTCAGTCGAGAGGATCTAAGTAATAGAGCATCTCGAGGGCCGTCCGTCTTCTTGTGAGGTATATGCTCTCAAGTCGTGCGCCTTACTATGAGTATCATTTAGACTCTCAGGCGTGTAGATGCAGCGTCTCTTCCATGTGAAATTTAGCTTCTGTCTTCTTCTCGGTTAATACTATGAGCCGCCTCACACCTTAACATCAGAGTTCCATAGCGAGGCCAGCAGTATGAGTAGTTGATATACAAAACAATGAAACACGGCCTCTTATTGATGCCGGCCTTCACGATACCAACTTTACTACTTTTTCTCGACATCTACGAGATAGGCAATCGCAATGCCAAAGAGCATACACCTCAACCATGTAATAATCCTTTCGTGTCCATCCCAACAGCTCTAAACGTGTTGGAACCGTGGTAAAGCACGTAGTGCGGTGAATCCCTTGGGCGAAGCCAAATATCTCGTCCGCTCCAACAAAACAACTCCGTAACTAACTTTACCGCCTGAAGTTCGTTGGTAATCCAAAGACCGGCCTAGACGCCGCGCGGCTGCGCCTTCGGGCGGTGAAGGTGAGTCTTGAGTCGTGATTCAATGGAGGCGGTGAGTCGGTTCCGTCCAAGATAACCGCCGCAACGTCCCGAAACCTACCTACTTACCCAAAAGCTTTCTGAGACATGCGAGCATGCCCGCGGAGACTAGAGTCGATATCCGCATGCTTGCCAACATGGCATTGCATGAACGATTAGGAAAACGGGGGACGGGACCCATATGGCCGCGTCCCTTTCGAGCTCCCGCGCGAGATGTTCAAAATAAGAAAGCAAATAGACCAACACCCCATAAAC